AGTGACGCCTTGGGGAAGATCTTGAGTTGCCCTTATATTCAAAAAGCGATCTTCAGTGTAAAAAGGTTGGCGACCACTGACCTAGAGCAGTGTTTCTCAAAGTGGTCTGCGAAACCACCCTGGGAAAGCTGCTAATTGGCTGCACCGGTTTGTTTATTTACCAGCGCTGCAGCCACAGAACCTTGCAGCTCCCATTGGCTTCTGTTTGTAGCCAAGGAGAGCCACGCTGGTGCGGCCACTTTGAGAAACACTGACCTCTAGAGGATGTCAACCTACTACTAGTTTCAGTTACTCCATTAGCTTAAATTGCACGGGTCTGTCTGATGAATTTAAAAGTTCCAGCTCTGCTGATAATCAGTGGAGATGTTGATATGATGTCACAGGATAGAAGTTGTTTTTTTCTGACTCATTTTTTAAAAACTAGGAAGTTATAACAATTCTGTGTTAACATTATTAAGGTAGCAAAGTTAAGAACTAGAAGTTGAGATCAGAATTAAAGTTTCACAGACAACTTGAGTTCAGTTATCTATGATTTAATAGTTAATATAATAATTAACTATATTATTTCCAGGAAGTCCATCTTTAGTTGTGGTAGGACTTTGGCTCAGGCATGGCTGTGTTCAGGAAAAGTGTGTGTCTTGAATTACATACTGTCTGAATAATAAGCATAAATCACTGCTTACTTCTGGGAATGTATTTCATAACCCATACTCCTAATTCTTAGGGTCTCCAGAACCCAATGAAAAGTTAGCTGTTTGTAATGGCTATTGGCGTAAAGCATTTAATATCTCCTTTTGAATTTGGGAATTAATGGGGTATTTCTATTGAAGATAAAACTTAAACATCCATCTTCACAAGATGGAGGTAAACTGAAGACTTGTGCTTCATTTCTTAACTACTGAATCCTTGAGGATAAATACTCAACACAGAATAATCCTTGCTGACATGTGAAAAAAGTTAGCTCATGCTATTTGACATCCCCTTTCTTTTGCTGTTCTAAAAATGTCTTAATTTTATTTTAACCTGGTAATAGTGTGTACTTACCACCTTTCATCCAAGAATCAGAAGCATTCTACAATCAAAATCTCAACACCCCTTAAGAGGTAATACCTCATTTTACAGGTGAGGAGGATGAAAGCAAAGACAAGTTTTGACTTGTCCAACGTCAACACAGTTGGTGACAGAGCTGGAAATAGGAATCCAGGTTCACCCTGTTTCGGTTCTGCATTCTAAGCAATAGACACGGTTCCTTAATTGTTGATCTTAATTGTCAAGGATGCAACGTACAAAAGTTCACAGTTTGAATTTAATTTCAGAAAGACATTCTTCTTGATCATGCTTTTAACAGGAAAAACCACTTGTGGATTTCCTTACCAGAATTGAACAGTATTAACTGTCTTCTTTCATCCATAACTAAATTATTTCCAAGAAGAATCTGAGTACATCATCTATTCTCCAGGGTAAAGCTTCTTGGGAACCTATTTTTGTACACAAGTCAGGATGACATGGCTCATCAAACAATTTCTGGAATTGTATCACATTTTGCATTTATGTGAACATTGAAATTTGGGAAATTCCAAGTTAATACATTCTACTATGAAGAAGCTTATGTGCTCTAAAGGCAAGCCTATATTAGAGAATTTTGGCATGGCAGACTCTTGATGTGATGGTAACTCCATTTATATACTTGCACAAGAGTTGCTATTTTATATTGAAATTTCACTGACTTGGAGCAAAACTCACAATTGTATCTTGTATCATCACTTTGCACCTTACCAGTGCTAAAGCCACACCCATTGCAGCTTTCCCTGTACAGTGCCATAATGCTGCAATTGTTTCAGCAATTGCTCTGCAACATGCAGTATTTCCTGTACTACTTCATAATTTCTTATTTTGAATATTCAGGTCTATAATTCTGCATACAAGTCTTCAGTTTAATTAAAATGCAATGGAGACCATTTTCAGTCTTATTTCAGAAAAAAGAATTTTCACGCAATAATGATTCCATTTTGAGTTTAAAATTTATCACTGACAAATTGATAAGCTTCAAAATAAAAAAAATCATCTGTAGTATGCCACTTCTTACCTGTGGATTGCTACTGTCTCTCAAGATCCCTTATTTGAGGACCTGTGATAAAAACTACAGGATAGATACCCATCAGGCACTTGTGTTGCAGATGTTGGAAGTGCTGGTTTGGGCAGAGCAAATGGGTTTATATTTCCCCTTTTACAAATTTATAGCTGAAATGTTTGTAATGGTGCAGTTTTCAAGAATCGCTAGTGTTTACATGTGGTACAATATGCTATGATGAATATACCCTTTTCCCTGACTCTGCAGAACATAAGGTGCATAGAAAGATTGTGATAGGTGTACAGAAAGATCTGTCTACGTATTACAGGCATTAATATTTAATTTAGATGTCTTTGTTCATTCCAAACATCTTGTATTACAACAAAAATAAGTAAAATGTGGGCTTGACAGAATGGATGCCTTAAAAGTAATAGAAATAGAAATGCAAGAAGAAAAACCAATTTATTGTGCCGGACAATAGAATCTTACAAAATGTGTTTAAATCCGTAGATGTTACCTTGTGCTCTTCTACAAAAAGGGCAAAGTAGCTGCTTTAATTTTAATGTGGCTTTGTGTGTGTTCTGCTATTTAGTTCAAGGACTCTCCTTTAGCTCCTAGTGATGCAAATGCCTTGCAATTTGATCTTTGAAGCCATATTTTTACTTAATTTATATTTTAATGTGGGTATATGGTGTGTGTTTTCTTTAAAGGGAAATACACCCTCAAAATGCATACAAGATACTGTCATTAAAATTGCATTGGGTATAATCAATTGTTATTGATGCTATATTTACTAATTGGAAGCTTTAATCTGAGCATAATACCAGTACTTTGGTAACTTTTGGTGTGTTTCTATCAGTACTGTGTAATGAGAAGATGTGGCTTAGTCCTTATAATGCATGAACAACAATAACAGTGTTGACAAGATATTTGTTTAAACCTCCACCTTACACTTTTGGAAATGTCTGTAGATAAACTGAAAAAATCAAAATGGGGTTACTTTTTTTTAATCTTTCTGTGCTTTCCTGTAAAATCAAATTATTCTGAATCTTTCATTAAATATTCACAAGGTGCCTGGCAACACTTTTTAAAACATAAATTTTCAGCCTAAATTGTACCCTTTTGTGGCTAAATTCTTAGCCCTGGAATTTGGAAAATAATAATGGCAGTGCTGAAAACAGAATCACTATTTTGTTCTAAAATGTATTCAGTTCCTTTAAAAACATCAAAAAAAATGAAAGAGAATAATAGAATTTTTAAAAAATCCTGAAAATATTTAAAGGCAGCTTCATTTGTCCTTCATAATTTAATGACTGAGTGTATTGAATTTTTCACTGTAGATTAGATTTCTGCTGCTAAAATATTACTTATTTTGAAAGCAGACCAGTGGTAGCAGAATGAGGCAACATAAAACGTACATTCCCTCTCATCTCATAACTAGACACAGAACTCACTAGAATTAGAGCTGTTCTGAAAAAACAACTTTTGAAATTTTTATCTTTCATTTTTATGAAAAATAGCTAACCTATTGCTCTTTGATTTGTACCAAAAATAAAATATAAGGCTGCATCTTTTTTTGGGATACCAACAGGAATAGGTGATAAAAGTTGTCAGACTCAAGCAAGAGTCCAAAAACAGATGGTGGCTTAATCTTATTCATTATTGTTTAAGAGACTTTACGTTCGCTCTAGCTGGAAATCAGCTTCTCAGGAGTGCTGTTGTTTTATTACTTTCCCTCTCTGTTAGTGTTCAATACTATCATTGAGAGGGGAAGGGAACAGAATTGAAACTAAGCTTGTGTGACATCTTTGTAATACTAGTGCCCAGCAATAGTATTTTGTTTGGGAAAGAATGGTTGAAAATATCAAGATAATTTAAAAAAGTAGAAATAACCCTGCTGAAAGTTGCTCTGTTTTGTATAGTACATATGGCACTGATAGTGACAAATCCAGTTATTTGCTTTTTAGTCAGCTAAAATTTTATTTATGCTAGATGTTATATGTCTGAGAAAATCGTTCCATCTCTGTTAGTGCATCAAAGGCTTTTTACATAATGGTGCTTTGTGTTAGACTTACAGGTCAGCTAGTTTAAGTGTTCTTCATTTCTTTTGTATTCAATATTTTCAGAAGCCCACCAAAGCAAATCAATTTCTGGATCCGTCCCATCTTACTAGATTTAAGTGGCTTTTTTGTTTGTTTTTTTCCATGCAGGTACTGGTCATTAATCACCATGAGTGTGGATCTGAAGAAGAATTAATTACCTCTATTTTTTTGAGTATGTTTAACTTCAGATACACACAACGTAGTCTCCTTCCCCATTAGATTCTTAGAAGGTAGTTATAATACTTTTTATAGTCTCCTTCTTGTGGCTTTGATAGTTATGATCAATAATAAAAAACCCTGTTCCTTAAATTTTGGGCAACTGCATGCCAGTCAGTTCATTTAAAACCTCCTGGAGGTCTTTCGCATGCCAGAGTGTGTATTTGCGGAGGTAACTGTGTTAAATAATTTTTAAAATAAAAACTTGATTTTCCATTTCTGGACTCTGGAAAATAGATTTCTTGTAGGTTGGGAAATCAGTTAATTAGAGAGTTTGTTAATCCCAGTTGAAATTTAGTTTGAACTACTACAATTTTGAAAAAATAAAATAAATCATCCTTTTGGAAACTTTAAATTAAATTTCATGAATTGTGGCTGGTTATGGTTGATATATAAAATGTTGAATGAGATCGCATTATGCCTGCTATGTGGATAAATAAGGATGGCTGATCAGGTTGTTTACCAGCTATCTATCACTAATTAGTTATTGCATAGTGTTTGTATAAGCTGACTATGCATCTAGATAAATTGATATATACGTCAATTTTGTGATTGTAAAAGGATTATCTTTTGTATCAAATAGATGATTGATTGATTGTTTATTTACTTAGGGGTGGAAGAAAGAGAGAATTTTGGCTGAATATCCTGATGGCAAGATAATAATGGTTCTTCCTGATGATCCAAAGTATGCACTTAAAAAGGTATGTGGAAATGATTTAATTTCTTCTAAAGTATACTCTATCCTACGTAACTTTTTGTAAGGACAATGATTGTGTTAAAGTTAATTTATTGTGAAAAAGTTTATTATGAAGTTTTGAGGCCAAAAATATGAGAACACTTCAGTGCAGGCTTAGAATTACAACTTACACTCATTACCCATCTGAACCTGATAATTCAGCCCTATGTATTCACCTTATCCTTAATGAAACCCTGGGTTATGACAATAGGGGTAATATGTAATTGATTAATAAACAATTGAAGGGGAGAGTTGTGAGAAATTGCATTTATTTTGTTTTTCTTCTGAGAAATTATAAATTATCATAAGGGCTTTCTCCGCAACTGATGTATATTATTAGAATTTTTTTACTTCAACTAGAGTTTTGAATATGGAACAACTGACAAACTCGGCCTTTGAGAATAGTAATTGGTTGTGAAATACCAAAAAAACCATGCTTTTGTAAAATGTTATTGAAGTTTTAAGTCTGTTAAACTGAAATACTACTTTTAAATAGAAATCTAACCTTTTTAACAGAAGGTTTAAAATCTGCTGAAATACATATAGGAATGAATACTGACATGGATTTAATTGTAGTTCAGATGCTGCAATCTAAATTCAGCTAAAGGCTGAAATGAATTGTAACATACTAACATATATCTTTTAGTATCAAAAGCTATTGCTTTTTTTCCTTTTCATTTTCAACAAACTTTCTAATACCCACAGACTTGCTATTGTACCAGTTATCATAATGAGTAGAGAAGCATCATGATTTGGGTAATGACTAGAAGTTTGTATAACTACTTTAATTCACATTTAAACTTATGGAAAATATTACAAGCAAGAAATCATTACAGCTTATACTTGCATTTTGGCAGAGCACTACTGCTCTGCAATATTAAATGTAAGACTTGTGATTACTACTTCTGTTATCTCCTATCCAAGGACTTCAGCGAATACGTCAACACAAAAAATTGATAACTTGTTGCAGTTCGAAGTTCATGAACTTGATGGTTTTACTCCACTCAGTGTATCAATGGGAGACCTTTAGGGATAACATGTGTTTTGTGCTCCAGATAGCATGTTTTGTGAAACCTTTTTCTGCAACTTTTGTTTTTGCAGCTTCTCCTCTCGTTATTTTTAATGAATTGGGTTGACAACTGATTGTCCTGAAAGAAATAAGTGTAAGGTGGGGATTTGAAATGCACACGTCAGGAAACTAAAGAATTCCGTGATAACCTTAGCTCTCCAGTCTTGTGTAACAAAACTATTATCCTAATGAGAAACTGAGACAAAATTTTCTAAATTAGCACGTCCCATTTAATAGTAAATATACATATATACTGCTTACCTTTTGATCACATGAAATATTGCACCTTACACTGAATTACCCCACTTCTTTTGGATTAAAATCTCAGTTTTAATAGAAGATTAAGATAAGACTTTTCCATCTGGCTTATGTATCAGATGCTGTTGAGCCTCTAGTGGTGTTCCTATACAGCAAAAAAACCAACAACCTGCGCCTGCCCTGCTCCAACTGACTTGGGCTTACATGGCTCAAGCTGTGGGGCTGTTCATTACTGTGTATATGTCTGGACTTTAGGCTCTAGCCTGAGTCTTTGGGACACTGCAGGGTGAGAACCAGGCCTGGTGACACCTGTCACTGGGCCCTGGGTAATGTGTGCAGAGGGTTTGGGCCTGGGGTTCCTAGAAGGGATGGGGCCTCAGGCAGATGGGGTGAGGTTGGGGCATGTAACCTTCAGAGTCACCCGGTCCATGCCTTCCCCATGTCAGCTCTCAGCATTGCACGAGGTTCTGGCAGTAATTTAAAAGGCCCAGAATCCTGGGCTCTTTTAAATTGTTAGTCCCCAGGACAGTTGTTCCTTTACCTGTCTGTCTCCCCATTAGTGCCCCTGGGGGAAGGGTCCCAGAGCTTGGGCTCTAGCCCAAGCCAAAAAATCTATACAGCAATGAAATAGGCCCGCAGCACAAGCCCTCCGTGCCTGAGTCAGCTGTGGGTTTTTCTTTTCTGTGTACAGTATACACATTCTAACTAGGGATGTGAATGATTAGCCCATTGTGGCTCGTGGGTAGGGGCGCTTCAGCCCGGTCAGAGCAGCCTCCCCCCTCCTTTTAATCAGTTAACTGGTTAACTATTTAAAAGGGATTTTATATCCCTAATTCTAACAGAGAGAGAGAGTTGTTTCAAACTCCTAATTTAATTTGCTAGCGAATTTTTTTAAGACACAGCATACTTCTATGCAAAGAAATCTTAAGGCTGCAAAAAGTCTGAAATTTTGTATCACTTATTAGTGGTGATTTCAAATATTCGTATGCTTAATACTGTAAATCAGTTGATGTAGCAGTAGTTCCGGTTTGGTTTATAAAACTGCAACTTCTACTTAGCTTGGATGAGGAGATGAAAATGATAGCATCACCTTTTGAAAGTTAAAATGTGTGTGTGTTTATGGATAAATAAAACAGCATATGTAAAATTAATATTTGAATTTTTGCTCTAATATTCTTATCTAAAATATGCAGCAAACTCAAAATTGCTGGTTTTGTGTTCACA